ACCCGAAAGCATAGTCGCTGGCGTCGCAAAAAATAACTGCTCCGGGGGAGAACTTTGGCTGAATCCCATAAACGTTAAAGGCCTCAATATAAGGAAAACAAAATCGCAACTCCTCCAATAGATGAACAGAAATAGGAAATGAACAGTCTCAGCCAGACCGCGCTTGAATAGCAGAATGAATCTGCTATTCAAGCGCACTGCTGCAATCAGTGATTTGATGAAACCGGCTACCCGAGCGAGATCTCTAAAAGTAACGGTATGCGACGAAATAATGAAATCGAGATTGCTCTTAAGCTTGGCGATTTTCTTAGGAGGAACTCTAAACTGCATCCTAACTGTGGCAGTAACGAAGCCTAACCACAGCCCGACTTGCATAGGCTCCAACTTCGACTTTTCCCTGTTCAATGTTAAGCCACACGATTTCAAGTACTTTTGATAGACCCAACTATTTGCAAACGCAGAAACCCTCTCTGGAAGCCCCGAGATACCGTCATCCAAATACACAAAGCAACAATGGCCAATCGAACGCCTACGCTTAACTAAAGGCCTTAGTAACTTCAAAAAACAAAAAAAAGCAGAATTCAAACCGAATGGAAGGACCCTGAAAGTGAAAAAACGAGCCTTACCACTGGAGGGCCAGGAAAACCCTAAGAACTTCTGATGCCCACTAAAAATATCTACGTAATGGTACCCTGACTCAAGGTCCCAGGTAAAAAACCAAAAGTTCTGCTCGAAAACTTTGGAAAGGCTATGTAAATCCTCGTACTTAAATGAATACCTATGAATTGCACAGGTTAACATACCAGAGGTCAATCACCGGCCTTAACTTTTTACCCTCAGCTACTGACAACGGATTAATGTAAGGAGGCTCTAAATGCTCCTCGATGCAATCAGCAGCCAACAGCTTGATAATAGCTTCTTCAACAAAGCTGGGATGGAGTTCGGCTGAACGATTATTCCTAATAAGGCATGGCTTAGGAACTGTAATGAAAGGTAACTTATAACCCTCAGAAATCACATGAAGCACAAAACAGACTTCCAATAACTAACACACTGTTTCAGGCGGCTTTTCATCCTAAGGGAGCCTTCGATAAACTCGGCCTCACTAATCAAATACTCAATAACGAACGGGTACTCATCAGTCTTTACAATGCCAACAACCATGTCAGAAACAGTACCCATAGATGGTCAAAACCAGCTGGGCGGACGGTCCGAAGATGAAGAACTGAACACAGATTTTGGACAATTACGCGTTAAATGGTCAAAATCCCAACACTGAAAAAGAAAAGAAACATTAGCGACAATAGGAAAAGTAAACTAAATCAGTACTGGTAACACGCTGAGGGCAAAAAATTAAGACGAAACACTCCTTAAATACTCACTGATAAGAAAAAACCTAAGAGACTACATACCATACTAGTTAAGGCCCACCCTGGTACGACATCTACTGATGAACAGATCCAAAAACCCACAGAATACAAATATATGCTAAACTTCGTATCGCAAATATTGTGTAATTTTGCATAGAGTGAGATTCCCCTTGTCTCAGTGTGGTGGATAAGCATAAAACTTATAACGGCCTTAGAATAATTTTTGTAGATGCTGAGCTGTCATTTTGTTCTTAAAAAGTGTGGAAGGTCAACAAAAATCAAATACACAATTTCTGCTCCTTAGGCTAAACTCTCATAATTTTTTTTTAATGTTCTTATTTCATTTGGGAAACCACTGCCGGCCACCAAAAGCACAATTTATCAACTCAACCGTCTGATGTGATAGTCTTCTCTCAAAACTTGAGGACCAAGAAGCGCCAAGCATTAACCACTCTTTATAAGCATTGATTTTGGGTCCGATCTTTAATATTTCCTGCTAGAATGATGTGAAGCTGCCGGAGCCGGCGAAAATCAGGGTCCCATTGACACTCAGTGACGCTGAGTATAGAGCCAGTGGACCTGTATGCTGGTCAGTTGAAGATACTGCACTTCAATTCGAGTGAAAAATCAAAAGAATAGACGAATATCACAGATAATTTGGATATACCTGTAGTCCTTAAAGATGGAATGGTAACGTTTCAGATCAAAATTTCTGCTGGTAAGATAAAGATGTTTTCAGTGTATCTCTAAAGTACACTGTTTATATTTTATCAACTGACATTAACGAAGTATAAAATTTGTTTCGTCGAAGGCGCGCTCTGATTGGCTACTCAATCTCCGAATATCCTTTGCGTTCGAAAAAATTGTAATCGTCGCAGGAATAAATGAGTTAAAATCCCCTTGTTTTTTTCTATCATCTCACTGTTTTAATCTAATTAAAGGCTGATTTATTCACGAGAAATGTTTGCCGTGTGAGTTATACAGAATTAAGGTTTTAATTCTTTCATTTCAGGGTGGAGAAATATGTAACAAGAAGTTTGGATCAAAATATTGTCGATCAAGATCCCGAGATGATTTACACTAAACGAAAACGTCACCGTTTGAATACCAATTTATAACATAGCGCGCGTGCTTGCCCTATATTAGTCCTATTGAGCCGCTATGAACAAAATCCTTATTTACGCACGTAAATTAGATGACGTGAGCATTTTTTTTACCTGGCTTCAGAGTCTCCGTCCTGTTAAGCTGCAGTGCAGTTTTCCTTCTCTTTGAAATATGGTCTAGGTACTGATCCAACAAGCAACAAAAATAAAGCCGAAAAAACTCTCAAGTTGCACGTTTCGCAAATTTGTCGGAAAACCAGCTGCAGCAAATTTTGGTCGAAAGACAGACATTCACTGGGAACAAAAAAAGTAACCAATTGGTCATTAACAACGTTTAAAGGTAAAATTTCCGTTTTTACTGTCGTTTTTAAATTTGTTCAACCTGGGGAATAAAATACGCAGTTGTTAATTGAGAATTTACCAAAACCAAAACAATCACAATTGCACTCTATCACAATAAAAGGCTTCTTCGCGTAGATTCTTGTTGTTGCTGTTATAAAAGAATTTGCTCATGCTTTTAGCTGTGCGTATATCGAGTTATGGATGCACTTGGGAAGTTTGGAGAGCACTCAAAAAGCTAGAGTTGCTCTCGGCTGCGCCTCGAGCTACTCATACGCATTTTTCGTGATCTCCAAACTTCCTGCGTGATCCAGAACTCGATATACGCACGCTAACCATGAACAAATTCTTAATTAGGAGAGTCTGTGGGCGACGTAAATGCTTGGACACAATGGAAAATGAAAATTCCATCGGACGGCTAGGGGTCATCTTTTGAAAAAGTGCCTCTTTTGACAAGGGCAGAGATGGACAGACATATTGGAAAGTCTGGGAAGCGTACAAGTGGAGATAAACGTGCATATCGTTCTGTTCCCACAGCTTAAAAAAAAGGATAAAAACTACCATGAAGATGAATATTTGCACGATATTCAAACAAACTATGACCATCAGTACTTTTATTATCATCAGTTAAAGCTCCGTTCAAAGCAAAGCTGCGTTCACTTTGCTTGTTATTGTACTTAATTTTACTGTATATATCTTTCTTGAGGCAAGAATCAAGTCTAAATACATCGGGACTTCAATTGACTCTACAAGTTAAGTTATATGACTCTGTCGTTGCGAGAGAGAGATCTTCGAGGCTGAACAGACCACTCGTAAAGTTCGTCAAGCATGGCGGTCTATGTTTGGCTATTTCTCTGGATAGACTGATCCTCTTACGCTTTGGCGACGTGTCTTCTAATCCTGGACCGCATCAGAAAACCTTAAGTTGCCTTATGCAAAATGTCAGAAGTTTAAAGGCCTTTCAAGTAGTTGATGGATCTTCATACGAATCTAAACTTGGTATCCTGCGTGACATAGCGTATGGATATGATCTCGATGTTATTTGCTTGACGGAAACCTGGTTGAATGAAGCAATTACTGATCATGAGATTCTTCCTACGGCTTACAACATCTACAGACGCGATCGTGTTGGTCGAACTGGCGGTGGCGTTATGACTGCAATCAAAAGCTTACTTTCTTCATTTCAACTTTAAGTACCGTCCGACTTCTCAAGCTTGGAGATGGTTGTTGTCGAAATTGATAACTTCAAATACGACCGCAGCATTTTATTAATTAATTGTTATCGTCCTCCAAACAACGATCAGTTTGTTGGTCATTTCTATGATTTTATGAAGTCCTTGGTGTTCGGTCGCTACTACTCTGTTATTGCTTCAGGGGATTTAGGGTATTGTTGGTAGTATTGTTCTTTTGCGTCTTTACTGCTCTTTAGTGCGCTCTCATTTTTGTTTTTGCTCTCAGTTATGAGCCCCCCAGTCAAGTACCAGCAATTTAACCCTTGTTGAAAACATACGAAGGAGAGCTACTCGTTTAATCAAGCTTACTGGTTAGAATATCTTGACTTAGTTTTCTTTTTTAAGTGCCTTCATGGGCTTATAGATTTCACTCGTGAATTTAGTTATTGTTTTTCTTTTCTAAAGGGCAACAGGCGCCGTGCTTCATCAGGGCTGCACTTAAAGTTAAATGCCTGTCGTACGTCTTCCTTTCGAGACTTTTACTTCAACAGAATAACTTTGATGTGGAACAGTTTACTTCAAAATATCAAGGATTCAGACACTATAAGCTCTTTTAAAAGTAAACTCAAGTCGTTTTATTTTACTAGACTGTTGAATGCTTTTGATGGTGACAATTTTCGTTCTTTTAAATTAATTTGTCCTAAGTGTCGCCGTGTAAATACTTCTTCTGTCTGTACCTGTTAAGCTAAGTTAAGTTGTTAATTTGTATACTTTAGAATATTATGTGTGATTAAGATTATTTTAATTGCAGTTTAGTCGGATCAGGGAAGGGATCTCTTTTTGGGATATTTCTTTCCGGGATATTTTTTACGGGGCTGGGTGTGGGTGTATTAACCAAGTAGGGGACTTATGTCCTATTGTTACGCATCTGTACTTGTGCTTGTACGAATCCATTAAATAAAATAAATAAAATAGTACTTTCATAGCTTTAAAACGAACGAAAGTACTCACAATTTAAATGTTGCTCTATGTATAATTTCTAGAGAGGTTGTCTTTGCAAATTGTGGCCCCTCGTATACTTCCTGGAGATCCGGATTTTGCAAACACGTTCTAGCTTTGATATGAAAGGTGTACAGTTACACTTTTTATAACTGTAAAAGTGTCACAGAACTGCAACTTGAGGCAGATGAATACCGTTCAGCAACATGCACCTCAACCATGCAGAGATGGCATCAACCACGTGTTGAAGGTACTACATCCTGCCTTATATCGTGGAAGGGTCTGTTTACAAAACACAACTACATTCCATCACATACTTTATAAGTATTCCCCATACTTTATTAGTATTCCCAATACTAAACAGCAAAGAACAAAGTCTTTGTCTAAATTGTTCCAAATGTTGACTGCTCTATGGAGGAAACATCGCTGGCCTGACTTTGTCTTGCTTTGAGGAATATCAAGGGATTCACTGTTTCTAGTGTTATGATGGTGAATAGACTTGCGTCTTCGGAGAGACTCACACAAGTATGTGGGGGCCAGGCCCTTCACACACCTAAACGTCATTACAGTGTTTCTGTAGTGGAGACGCTCATTTACCAGTAGTCATTTGATCTCGCGTAACGCTGTTGTTACGTGCTCAAATTTCTTTTTTTTGTGATGATTCTGCACGCGAAATTCTGAACAGCTTGAAGCTTCTTGATGTTTGGTGGATGTGTTGATCATAGGTTAAGTTGTTATCTAGAATTATTCCGAGATCCTTGGCATTGGAGACAGGTGTGATCTCTTTCCCCAAGAAAGAGATCGTGATTTCGTTAGGAAGCCTGCGCAGTAGTTGTTGGGTCCCGACCATAAGGAACTTGGTCTTTTCAGGGTTGATTAATGGTTGATTTTTACAGCACTAGGCAGTCACTAGTCTTAAATCTTCTTCAAGAACACGTTCTGCAGATTCGGCATATTTGACTGGAATTGATAGGAAGATCTTTGAGTCGTCTACGTAGGAATCGAGATTGCATACTTGTGGAGCGAGACGAAGATCACTGACATAAATAAAAAACAAAAGTGGTGACAGTATGGCGCCCTGTGGTACGCCATCTGTGATAGGGAGGGGTGTAGATGTAGATGTGCTGATATGGACCACCTGAGTTCTGTCAGTCAGGTAACTCTCAAACCATTTCGTGGTTTTGTCGGCGGCAACAAGGCTCAGCTTCTGTAATAATATAGAATGGCTAATATTGTCAAAAGCTTTCGATAGATGTAATAGTATCAGGGCTGACAGTCTCTTATTGTCCATAGCATCTAATAAGAAGTCGCTGATCATAATATTAAGAGTCTCTCTAGGGTGGTATTTACGATTACCACTATTATGTTTATTAAGGAGGCCGTTACGTTGTAAATAATTGCTGAACTGTTGAAGTGCTACCTTCTCGCAGATCTTTGAAGCAACGGTAAGCATCGAAAGGGGTGATTATTTGATGGCTCCTCGTGATCTCCGTCTTTCAGTAGTGGCATGACCTCAGACGCTTTCCAGGAGTTTGGAAATGTAGAAGTTGCGAAAGAACAGTTGATGATGTCTGTTAACGGGCCGAGGAGAACGGGAAGGCAGTCTTTGATGATGCGCATGCTGACTTTGTCGGGGCCTGGAAACCTATTAGAAGGCATAGATGATACAATATGTTTGACCTGCGTAACAGGTAACAGGGGTGAAATTAAAGAGTTCCTCGGATGAGTTTCTAGTCGTTGGTGGTGAAATTAGGCATGTGTCTGAAATATTGATGTTGTTGTCTATGGCCAACTGTGCAGCAGTTTGAGCAGCGTTTCTCCCAACAAAGGAGAAAAATTGGTTGAAATCGTTAGTAACTAGCTCAGTGTCTCTACTATAGACTGGAGTTTCTTTTTTGATAGATGGAATACAAGTATTGATTATTTTCCCCAGAGATCCAGGGTTATCTTTGTGTGACTGGACTTCTGTGCGGATGTGGTCACACTCGGCATTCTTAAGAAGTCGTTTTACACATCTCCGGGCTTCCTTGAAGGCCTTTCAGGCGTCTGCATATCGGCTTTGTCGATAACGACAAAAGAGCTGATCTCTAAAGGTTATCTGATCCTTAATTTCAGGTGTTATGTAAGGGCAAGGACGACTGCGAATTCTGATCTACTTAATTGGTGCATGAGCGTCCAGTGTGGAAAGAAAAGTGACATTAAACGTTGCAAGTTTGAAATTTATTTCTTCCTCTGAAAAAATCGAAAGAAACCTGGTCTGCGGTAAACAGACCGGGGTTATAATGCTTGTAACTCCTTGTTGAGATATAACATGGTAGAGGTTTAGGGAGTTTCAGCTTTAACTCCACGTATACAGGTAAGTGATCACTAATAGGAGTGTTAGTAACGCCACGGGCATGGACGAGGTCAGGAGATAAGACTAAATTAACATCAATCAGAGGTTCGCAGCTGTCTGTTATCCTTGTTGGTGTTGTAATTATCTGCTTCAGGTTAGTCTCAGACAAGAAATTAGACAAAGCTTTTCTCTCTGGGCTCTCCTTTAAGACGTTACAGTTAAGGTCTCCTAAGACTGTAATGGGCTTGTTCATGGTAAGTGCTTGAATGTAACTCGGTTTCAGCAACTTTTCAAAACAGGAGAACGGACAATCAGGCGGTCTGTAGGATATGCAAATCACGACTGATCGCAATTTCCTGTATGGCAGTTTTAGCCAAAACTGGTGGAAATAATTATCAGATAAATGGGAAATGCCCTTCAGTACTATGACTGTAATGTCTTTGCGAATATAACCACAGACTCTCCCGCCGCGTTTACGTACCCGTTCCTGTCTGTAGAGCTTATAGCCGTCAATGCTAACCTCAGGGTTGGTTACGGTGGTATTCGGCCAAGTTTCAGAGATGGTAATCACATCGGTTTTATTCGCTGCAGCCCTATCCCTGAGCTCAATAAAATGCGATGGACTACGGAGGGAACGAATGTTCAAGTGGACGATCTTGAGCTTTGATGTTGCACAATTACGCCGGGCAGAACTACTAAAAGGTTGACCTCGAGGCGTAAAAGCTACGTTTATGGTTGTAGACTCAAACGTCGACCTGCCGCTCGATGAGGTAGAAGGATAAGGCGAAACAGCATTAGGAATTGTTTCCATGATGACATCATAGGTGTGAACTTGAATATTTGATGAGACAGAAGGGGTTTTGTGCTCATCGACTACATTTGCTGAAACTTTAAATTTCGATGAAGAAAACGATGTAGAAAAACGGGAAGAACTTTTCAGTTGTCCGCCTCGTTGTCCACGGAATCGACATAGTATTCTGACGGTTTTTAATGCTTCGAAGACTGACGAAGAAAGAGGTTTTAAAAAAGTTCCCTCCCTGTTACGCGTGAGGTGACTTCCACATCGAACGGGAAAAGCGCAACGATAGGAGAAAATTTCTTGAATATAGTGACATCAATCAAATTTCCAGGCTCTTACGAGAATCTGAAAGGTCTTGGAATTGAAAATGACAGCTAGAGTAGTAATAAAACAAAATTTAAAGGACCTTAGAAACTAAGCAGCTGGTCACTCAACCGGCGCATCTTGCCACCACAATTAGAAGGTGAGCACAAAAATTGTGGTATTACGTGTCACCTTTATGAAGCAAAAAGAATTGACAGGAAATAAAAACTAAATGATTTTGTGGAAGGAACCATTACAATTGACGCACACTGTGAGTGATTTGCTGAAAGCCTGGATAGAGAATATGGCTATGTTGGGGGAGATTGGAAGCCATTATGAGGACTGATAGGTAAACCTGTTACCTCAGCTGGTCAGGGTACTTTTACATTATTAGGGAATTTCAAAAAACCTATGGCTGCGGCAACCATGAGTATGAATTTGAAAGTGACCTTCGCAGTAATGAACACTACTTAAGCAACAGTGAAAATAACGCCAGAAAAAAGTTCAGGCCTGTACGGGATTTGAACTAATCCATATACATTTCTATCTCCGCAGTTCGCATATATGATTTTTATATATTTACAGTCATTTATTCATCACTTCACGGGTTTTTTTTGGAACCAACATAATGACTAACTCCCAGTTGGCTTGTTAGCTAGGTTGGTAGAGCATTGCAACGTATCGCAGAGGTCATGGGTTCAAATCTTGTACAGATCTGAATTTTTTTCAGGCCTTATTTTCATTATTGTTACTTAGTGTTTTTTACTACGAAGATCGCTTCCATATTCCGTAGGAATTTGAATTCACAACTTATTTTCCAGTAGAAGAAATGAACTTACCTCGTAGGTTTTTTGGTTTTTAAGTGCTATGCTGTTAATGACAATGAGTATATAAACTAAAACAGTGGACAGCATTGAAGGTGCGCTCTGATTTGCCAATCCGCAAACTCCGAATGTCCTTTGCTATCCACCTCTAAGCAACTCGTGCTTGAAAATATTGTAATTGCTACCGAAATAAATGAGTTAAAATCATCTTTTTTTTATTTTTTTTCAAATATGTATAGGGACTCATTCGTCTATAGCTAGTACTGAGAGTTGTTGCTGTCGGGAGTGACAGACTGTTTGGAAAGCTATACCAAGAGAGAGCTACTGCGCAGGATTGTTCATTTTAAGGAGCTTTATAGAAAACTGTGGATTTGTGTCTGTGGAAAGCTGAGTCATAGTTTGTAGGGGGTTTTAGTGAGTTTATTGAGGATAATTACTGTATTGTTTAATGGAGTCGCTTCTAAGTAAGAATATTACACATCTTTTAATAAAGTAGTTGAGTCTCTGGGGGTAAGGTGTTCTTTCTGTCGGTTAGATTCTACCAACAGTATACATTAAAACTACTATTCACCTCAGTGTCGGTGGCTTGTGGTGGATATTCACCTTGAAGCTTCACGGCTCAGTAAATATCCACCATTAGTAACCTCCATGTCGGTAGAGTTTTATTACTAGGACGCAAAAATGAATACATATCCTTACGTTACGTTTCTGCTACATTTAGCACTGCGAGCATTGAACTCATTCTCTTCTTTTCCCTACATTCTCAGAGCAACGAGTACCCTTTGTGACACTATCGGTACAATAAAATCTTGTATGGGTGACAGGCGGTAAACATTTCCATTTTAGTCGTAAAATGTTACGTTTTCTGCACAAGCAAGTGCGCTGACGATGTGAATTTCCAAAGCTTTCTTATTGTATCGAAAGGAAACTGAAAAATTCAACGATTTTGATATTGCTAGCAAATCGTCACACACGTTTCAGAAAATTTGGGAAAAGTTAATGATTTTTATTACTTAGTATCGTATATAGCTTTTACTAACATAAACATGTGTAGTGTTATGTCACAAATACATAAATCTCCAGTTATGCTGCTGTTTTATTCTATTTCTAAGTCTTATTCGTTTATTTGAATTTTTTGGTTAGCGGTGTTGCCATTGTAAGGTTGTTAAAATTTTACATTTGACACACCGGGTAAAATAGATGTTTGTGAAAATAATGTATGTAAATCAGTGAGTGTTAATAAGCAAGCTATGCTTTTAAGTTAGGTATTAATGTCAAGTTGGTAGTATAAGTTTGGCCTGTTTATTGAGTAATTCTTATTATTTAGGTAGTGTTAGCATTGTAAGTTAGGTTAGTGATGTAAATGTTTTAATTATAAAAATTACATTTCCCTCGATTGTGATTGGTTGAGAAAATTAATATTTTCCACTAATTCACTTGTAAATTGTTATCGGACAGTTTGTTATCGGACAGTTCAACAAGCCAATCACTTTCAAAGGTGTAGTTTAGATCAACCAGTCACAACCATTAATTAATTTACGACTCCTTTGTCAATCTTTTAAACCAAATTTTTCCTTTCTTTGATAACTTGGTTATTCTCCTTTTCTCGGAAATTATAATGTTTTTGATTAATGGATAATAAAACTTCGTGTCGTCCAACTCAGTCTGTAATCATACTCGTGATAAAAAAATGGGACTTCCGCTGCGTAATCGTTCGATTTTGTTATCACTCGTATGATTACAAACTGAATAGGGCTCCTCTCTGTCCCTTTATCATTATTAATTTTGTACAAATGAAGAAAAAAAAGATGCAGTCACCATTTTTCTAGAATTAAAGGTGGTACTGAAATGTTTGTAACACTTTTACCTCGATGAGTCTTCCACTACATTTAGTTTTGTCTTTCAGACAAGTTTTGTCTGAAAACTGTTATAATAAAGAGAAATAACGCATTTCACTTATTTAAATTGTGGTTTTTTGACCCATTCAATGCTGAAATACAGCCTGAACTTACATAAACAGGGCCTTCAAGATTAAAAGTATGTGGTATGTGTTTAATGTTTTTTCCAGATAAAGTCTAAATAAATTATTTGAGCCATAGATTAAATTAGTTTTTGTATTCTTTAACATAACATTTGTATTCTTTAACAAAGCGAAATGTTATCGTGAAATGAAATGCATGCTCGAAATGAGCATGCAAGCCAAGTTCCAGCGTTCGTTGAAATCCCCGTGGGTCTTAAAAATTATGCCTCAAAATACTCCAACCGCATACGAAGAATTGAAGATATACGCATGTGAGGTGTTATTTTAATGTACATGTCAACTGGCCGGTTGCATTTTTTCCTCACGTAAAACAGAGGGAATCTCGCTCAAGTTTAGATTTGTCCGCTACGATCTTTATTCACGTAAGCTGCAGTATTCGACATCCCAGCATTCCTTTGGAAAACTGTTTGAAACATTTAACTTATAGGAGAGGGGCTAGGATAGCAGAAAAAACCCAAATACATAGAATCGAAAAAAGAGACTTGCCATACATGTGATGACTCATACTTTTCATGCTATAAAAATACTTAGAAAATGTACTTTGTTGAATTCAAAATGTTTTTAATGTGCGACTGAACCTCTCCCTACGAACATCTTTGTGATACGGGTATCTCGCTAATTCCTTACGGAGAGCAAATGAAATACATGTATGTTTTGTTAGAAAAAAATCGGTTTTATACGGATCCTCGAAATCTCAGACATTTATGTTGTCTTCTCATTTATCTGACATTCATGTGATAAGAAGCGCATACCTGTTCATGTTTCTACAGACGCTTCAATCTGAGTGACTTTACCGTAATGAACGCAATGGACAAATCTCTTATTTGGAAATTTTGCTTTGTCCATTGGGTTTTTGTATTACAATGTTTCGACTGCTGTTTTTCGGCGCAGCAATTATAACAGTTGGGGTCTTTAACTAGCTCGAAAATGAAAAGAAGGAACAAGTAGTTATTAAACCTTTGTTTAATTTATTTTTTAAATTTTTTTTAATTTTTTTATGTGATGTCGTGACTTTTTCCCAGATTTCAAAGCTAACAATCTGTTTAAACAGAAAAATAAGAGTCTATCAGCAGTTTCACGTTGGAACTGTAATAGCCTAAGTCAGTAAAAACTATTTTCTCGCTAAAGGTCTTAACAAAGCAGAATCATCTCGCCAGAGGCATCAACAGTGAATGATTGTTGTTCAGGGACATTTTTATGTGCTTGAATGTGTAGCACATACGATGCCAAAAGTACAGTCTTTTTCCCTTTTAAATTCTGGAAAAAAACACATATGACCATGGAATATAAATGCCGAGGTCTTCGCGTCTTCTTTCGTGAACGTGCAGGTAAATAACCACATATGACCATGTACGTTAAAAAGTGGCTCAGGCAAAAGTCTAAAGAGAAATATGACTTCCGCCGGGCTGGCAAACACGATAATAACATACAGCATTGAACTAATGGTTTATGTAATGCGTTGTAGTCTACATCAGCATAAATAGTGGTAAATTGGAGTATATCATGATTACTCATTTTGAAGTTACTGCACATAGCAATGCAAGAGAATCAGCTTAAATTTTAGAAGAACTAAATACAACAAATTATGCCCACTGAGTTTTTCACCAGCAACTTTTTTCCCATTTACCTGCTTCTTGCTTAGTCTGTGCCACAGTAGCGATAATTACAAGCCGGAGGTGGAACTAGTTTGTAGATAAAGTAGGATCCACAGTTTTTCATTACGATTGTAATTGAATGCTTGCAAGTGTCAGCACCTCTGGTGAAACAGACCGTCCTAAACACTTCACCATCTCCCACTGTAGGTTCAGCACCATTCAACCAACCTGGGAAGACTGTATTACAGTGATAATCATCCACTGACGTTGTTGGCATTTTTGTCCCTGCGGCTCCCTCAAAACGATACCATCCCTCAGATAGCCAGTTGTCACACACACCTTCACTATATCTGGGTATTTCGTAAGTACTCTTTCTCTTAGCGTCCCTCAGAGTTGAGTAGTTATAACAACCGTTAGCTGGAAAGTAAATAGTAATTTAAAGAGGAAATGCTAATCACAATTTTTTGACTTTGATTGCAAGAACTCATCATCATTTATCGTTAGGATTGTTATGCATTATTACCACCCTTTCTAATATAAAAAGGGACTTGACACATTATAGCGACGATGTTGTGTAAAACATAGGGAAATTTTTTAACCAGCTCGGCATTGACTTTCCAATTACATTACCTTCTTTCTCGAAAGAATAGATTCACTATAGGGCGAGTGCCAGTCCTCTAAATTAATTTTTACAACGAGAATCCCGCCACCCTTGCACTGAAGGCACACCCGAATCGAAAATGAGTTTTGGCGATGACCTATATGTAGATTAGGGCGCCTAAACGAGGGCGAAATGGGGAAATCATCAGTCAGCTCAGATAAAGTTGACTTGAAAAATTATCAAAAGTGGAAGTAAGTTGTGCATTTTAAGTGTCTCTCGTTTAATGCGGGGTGGTCAGAAGAAGCGGCTTGTTTCATCTGTTTTCTTGCTTAAATTGAACAGCTAAGGGTTCACCTCAAAAAAGCTTAAATAAGCTAAAATGAAAACTTTTCAACGGCAAATTATACATTTAAGTGCCTCTCACTTTTTGTAGTTTTTGCTAATATTGGCGCCAGAAGTAGCTCAGGAGTAACAAATATCGCCGATCAGATTAGGGTTCAGATTGCAGAAAATTAATCTTTTTGTCGGAAAACATACCCTCGTCATTTATTTCCGTTACTGTTCTCACCACAGAATGAAAATGAAACTGAATTCCGATTTTTACGTTTTAATGTTAATAAGGAATTACAAGCAGTTGGAAAATAAACATACGAACAAAATGAAAGTGCAGATAATCAGACAGACAAAAAGACAGACACACAGAGAGTCTAATGATAGGATTATGACAGAGAGAGAGCATTGGAGTAAGAAGAGAGGGGAGAAAAAGGGGAAAAGGGGGAGAGAGAGGGAGAGGGAGAAACACACTGAAAAATAGTAAGAAGGATTCCTTCAGTCATTAAACCATAAATTAAATGCCACATGCACTTGCATGTAAAAGCTGAATAATAGGGCTCATAGCCCTGCTCGTGTTGCGGCAGGAATGAGGCGCGGCCTGCATGTAGAATGGCTGATGGATAATGTAATTTTTATTTGGTGATTATCAGTTAACACCCACCTGTGCACGTCAGGCCATCTCCTGTGAATCCTTCTTTACATTTGCAGTCGTAGGATCCACGGGTATTTATACATTCAGCATTTGAATCACATTTGTTTTCTCCTAGATTACACTCATCAACGTCTTAAAGAAAAGATCATGTAAAAATTCAATTACAGAGATTTCGAGACCACAGACTTCTAGTAAAGCACGGAACACAATGAGTTAGGATCTGCATATCTTTAATTTATTAGGGACTTAAAGAAAACCTTGACAACGACAGTAAAGAAAACGTAGCGAAACAAAAGATCTAATGAGCAAAGCAACTATGCAACCTTACTTAGCCACCTCATACAGAAAAAAATCGTGAAATCACCAACTTTAACTTCCTCTTAGCAACTACGTCACTTTTTATTTTGAACTTAATGAAAGAAGTCGCACCGTCAGGAACGGTAAACGTTTCGAGCTACTGGCAGGGTTGCATTGCAGAGAGGGTTCATCGCGTTCACCATCGCTAGAAGCGGCAATGAGGATATCCTCCTCCGGATAAACGCCTTTCGACCTATCGTTACCTACCCCCCCGCTCCCCTCCTAGTTCCCTCGATGCTTCCTTCCCTAGTTTTCTCTCATAGTTCACCGCTCTTCCTCTTCATCCTCGACGAAAAAATAAAAAAAAAGTGCATGAGGAGAGTACTAAAGAATTTATTCAAAACAACGGTGACCGACTTTCCTAATCGTTAAGTGACTGCTAATACTTAGATATTGAACACGTATATCTGCCTCACCTTCAGTGCAATCTTCACTTGTGTAACCCGGTACGCAGACACATCTATACCCTTCACTGGAAAAACCAACTTGGCAGATCGCATTTCTCGGGCATGGCTTCTTTTTGCAAGCGTTCTTTACAAAGAAGTAAAAAAGGACAAGTCAAGGCTTATCTACGCAATTACAAGGCGGGGAGGGAAGGGTAAGGAGGTACATTGACATAGTCATTCTGAGGACGGATGAATGAAACAACGAGAGCGGTTTAAAATGATCATCAAGTGTTGGCAATACTTCCAGGAAACTTTAACATTGCATGCTTTTTTGACAATAAAATAAATTAAATATACATGTTCTTGCTTTGTGAACAAATCGTTCACAAGTGATTAAAAGCTAATAAAGGAAAGGCAAATAATTGAAATAAATTCGTAGATTAGCAATTGAAATTACAGCAGCTCAAGACTTGTGTTTTTTTCATCCGGTGCTCAAACTGCGTTTACTAGTACCATACTCTCCATATTCAAAGGGCAATCGAATTCAATAAAGGTTGCAATTGACTCATGCTTATAATTGTATCTTTGACGTTCGGTAAATATCGAAACTTCGGTGAGATAACGATAAGCGTTATTTTGTAAGCTACGTCTCAGAACCAATTGCGTTTATTGCAAAAAATAATAATTGAAAGCACTTAACCTAACTGTCGTGTATGCCAACTGGGTGCTGGTCATTATGTTGGTTCCAAATAAACCCGTGAAGGGAAGAATAAATAACTGTAAATTTATAAAAATGATAGCTATGAATTGCCACATGGCTTGTTAGCTCAGTGGATAGAGCGCTGCACCGATATCGCAAAGGTCATGGGTTCAAATCCCGTACGAGCCTGAATTTTTTCAGGTCTAATTTTCACTACAGTTTAAGTAGCGTTCATTAATGCGAAGATCGTTTTCAAATTTTTTTCTTTAACTGCAGTTCACATATATGGTTTTTATATATTTACAGTCAAAATTAAAAATATGTGAATAAACCAGTAAAAAGTTGAATTGTAACAAAGACATACGGATAGGCCAAAAGAAGACCTCTATTATCCTAATTATTGCAGCTATAAACACACCTTGGATCCACGATAGATGCTGTTTGGAAATGAAACCAGATCACTCGGATGTTCAAAATGTGTAGAGTTATTCATCTCGCATTTGGTGATCGAGGGAGAATCATTGGATACTAATATATTATAGCTCACACAGTCGCGTTCCATAAAACACAATGCTCCACAGAAGTCCTTTGCGACGTTGTCAACTACTTTTATCTTGTGGTTAAGCAGCCGTTTTCCTCTAAATGCAAGTGCAGCACTGAACCCCAGTTGACGACATTGGTCTATAGAAAAGAATTATATTTTCCGATAGGAAGAACATAATACCACTGGTTGCAAGGGAATGCTCCATTTGACAAAGACACCGGATTTAGTGGTAAAGGTAAATAATAGGGAAGGGATGGAGGTAGAGAAATTGGTAAAGGAAACTGCAATCAACGTCATGCAAAAAGTGTGTGAATTTAAATCAACGAAAAAACCAGAACACGAGGTTTCGATTATATCCCGTTATCATTGTGAAATTGAAAGGGATTTTTTTTTTATAAGGAGGATCTGGAATATAAGATAATCGAGCTTTCTTGGGCACTTCTTTAAAATTGCGAAATTCTCACGAAGGCTTGCTGTTCTTACATTGTGTTATATGTACCACCATGCAGTGTGTTGTTTTTGAAGTGGCTGCAGGTGTAACCTGTATGGTTTCCCAGGAGGCTTAAAGGTTTCTGTTTTGTCTTTTCAAATAAACATCGAAACTTATCCCATTGAAACAGTTTATTGATATGTTTAGGGGGAGAAATTTATAAGTTTGTTATTTTCTGGCTTCTTTTGTTTTTGTTTTTATTTTCAGAGGCTTGAACAAGCAGGATTGCGACAGATGTTGCCCTGAAAAACATTTCCATTATATAATTTTCACGTACGTTCTTAAAGAGTCGCTTTTTGTATCTCAGAGATGAGTAATGGGATAATTTAAGCTCGCGTTTTCAACTACTTCGCAGAAGTCACCAAACTTTTGACATGGGACTGATTTCGACATCTCAAACTTTACCAATTGTTATGGTTTAAATTTTTTAAGACAATGATCCTTTTGTTGTCTGGCCTGGCAAATTGGCACTGATTACATTTTTTCCCAACGGTAGCCTACTTTGGAAACCAAAGACAAACCAACAGGGGGTGAGTCAGTAAATTTCAAGAGTACGCCAACTGCTTTGACTAAACTTTTGTCATACCGCGCAAGTATGTTTCGGCCTTACTCAGCCTAACTGTACTGTACTTTTATTTTAGTCGTCAAGTAAAATAATTAACACTTAGAATACAGCTTGTTGTATTATATCCGTGTAAGTTTATGTTTTAGCTCATGTTTTAGCAAGCAAGCGGCGGTAAGTAGCTGGAAGCGATGAGAACGGGCGGCTGCTATGCATTATCTCAGTTTAATACGCCTTACGCGTTATGCTTCTTTGAAAATGACTTCTGTTTAAATTTACTTCGTGCATGGCTTAATAATTATTTGACCAATTGCGCCTGGATCTACGTTGATCGGCAAGAAGACTCTTTTGTCTTTTGCACCTTTTTACGTTTAGATGATTTCGCTTTTGGCTAATTGTTCCACTGCTAACAGAAGAAAAGAAAAGAAAAAAGAAAAAAAAAGGAATGAAGACAGCGCTCGATGTCGAGAGTGCGTGAAAAGGCGGGTTTACTTAGACTATTGTCAGGCCTCGCGTTTTTGTTTTTTGGTCTATTGAAGCAAGTAAACATCGCCGTTGAAGGCAAAACAAACGGTGCGATTTTCGCACCTTTTTCGGTTTCAGTGATTTTATTCTTAGCCAAAAATTCTCAAACAAAATCTTCATAGTCGCATTAGGTGAGTGAAAAAAAAAAGTTTGATATGATTAAGGCATAAGTGTATTTTTTTTTGGAAATAATCGATAGGTGATTTTTCAGTTCTGTACCTGTCTAAGGGGAAAAGATGCAAATTTTGTTGAAGAATTGGCATTTCAAAACACGAAAAGGTAGTATCGAGACGAACAATTCAGGATCTAAGATCTGGGATGTAGATTGGAGAAAAATTTAGTGGGCAGCTTTCATTAAAGGCCCAGTGTTTTTCCAAGTTATTATGTCAGTGTAGAATACAGATAATGATGATAAAAAGATGAGACAAAACTAAATTCGGTTATTTCTTTCGAGATGATTGTGTTCCTTTTGAATAACTAAAGGATGACTGAAGGATATTCCGTTGTTTAATTGAAACTAATTCCTTACCCGTTAATTTGAAGCCATAAATCGTTAAAATTTCTTTCAGAAGGAGCTATCTCTAAATTTAGATTTAGGTGTATTGGACGAAAGTTCACGCGTAAAAAGGTTGTGTCGACATTTCGACTGTTTTTACAACTCTACATATTTGCTTCTAATGCTAGTCGATAATCGTTTTCAAAACGACAGTTAAAGGACTAATAAGACTTTCAGGGGAGGCTTTTGAAATTTTCTACATATTTATTTCGTTGTGTAAATATGCTGAGAGAAAAATGGATGATTAAGCTTCACTTGAGCTCACCAAATTTCATAGTCATACTCATAATAATAGCGGCACGTAGGGAGTTTTTTTCTTCAGCTTTAAAGTATACTTGCAAATTAAAGAGAGTGCAACATGATTTCGTGCCGAATTTATACCCTAAACTTTATGATCCTTTTATCCCAACCGCCTGCTTAAAACAGCTTGCGTGAGGTAGATGCAACCTGTCTTAAAAGATTCACATCTCCTCATAATAGCTTTATAAACATTTTTACTCTCCTATGGGAAGGTAGAAAATTTTGACAACTTAAGAATTTTTGTAATAGTCACAATAGAGCATTCGAAACGAATAACTTTCGTTTATTCCCGCTTCAAACGCATTATAAATTAAAAAATAAAATAAAATAAAATTTTCCCTGCGTTCCAAGTAGAGCTAGTATATAAATATAGGTAATCAAACGATTTCGAGTGCAATTTGGAACAACTAAGCACGAGTAAATTTTTTCAAAAACTGACAAAATTGCACAAGCCCGTAGGGAGAGTGTAATTTGCGGTCAAAATTTACAGGTGCTTATTTTTTCCATATTGCACGAGAAAAATCATTTGATCACATGTTAATAATATACATGAAAAAACTACGAGATAGCTTATCATAATTATGCAGAAGCAAAGCGCGCGCATCAAGTGCAAAAATAACTTATTCAAATCCTGCAAATAACATTGTGAGTTCGGTCAAAACAACCGCTCACGATCCGCCACCAGAAAAGCTCTGAATTGGTGGACAAATTCTCCATGTAAATACCATTGTAAATGTGTAGAGGTCAGTATAGAGAATATGCATACCGATCCAATGATGTAAACAGGTTTAAACGCTAGATTTAGGGTATTTAGAAAGCGTAAAATACAATCAGAATTGAATGAGTTATACTTGAATTACCATGTTAATGTAAAAACTACGAAAATCACCTTAATAGTCGAGGTTATCAGCATTCGGCTTCGGCAGATAACCCCTACCTCGACCTTGATTATTCTGGATATCTCAAATCCCTCATCAAATAATTGTTTATAATTCTATTCGGTATCGGTCGCTCTTAACCCTTTAATCCCTGAGAGTGACTGGCATCTTATTTCTCCTTACATTATCACTGTTAAATCAAGTATAAGGTCATGAGAATAAGAAAAATGGTCACCACACAGAGGAGCTCAAACTTGTCGAACAAATTCTCCATATCAGTGCCACTGGAATTGTACAGAGATCAGTATGGAGAATATGTATCCCGTTTCAGGCTGTAAAGGGTTAATGCATGGGTCAATATTCGCCAAAACATAATTGTGTGCTTTTCCAAACAAGTTATTGTAATATCAAAACGTAAAAACGAGTTGGGTGACCACTAAGTTTTATTGCTAAAAATGAGTTATATTTAAATAGGGTACTTAGACAGCGCAGAGTTTAATCAGAATTGTATTTGTTACTTGAATTACCTTAAAACGTGTAAATCACCTATCTCTGTACCTGTATATTTAATCCTTGCACTTTTTACATCCTTTCAGAAAATTTATTTTTTTATAATAAATCTATAAGTTTTGTCTGAAAACTGTTATAGTATAAGAGAAATAACGCATTTCACTTCTTTAAATCGTCAGTGGTTTTTCGGCCCATTCAACGCTGAAATGCAGCCTGAACTTAGGTCAACAGGGCCTTCAAAGTTAAAAGTATATGGTATGTGTTAAATGTTTTGCCCAGATAAAGTCTAAATAAATAATATCAGCCATGGATAAAATCGATTTTTGTATTCTTTAACATAGCTGAAAGCGAAATGTTATCGTGAAGTGAAATGCATGCTCGAAATGAGCAAGGTCAATGAAACGATCTGGTATTCTAGGTAGGGTTTGCAGTTGTGCCATGGCATCTACGATGACAGCAGAAGCATTTGTTAGATTTTGAAGGTTCTGTACACCATCCTCCAGAAGCTTCGCTGGAGCGGACTTGTTTGTCTTAGCCAGTGAGCCATCGTAGGCTGCCAGAGACCAAGGCACAGGTCCTATTTCGTGAGTGAGGAGATCTCTCAGGTCGATCTGTCGACTCTGTCCGATGACCAGGAGCCTAGCAAAAAGATTTCTACCAGCTCGGAGCACAAACCTCTTCCCCCCTTGATTAATTAACCGTCTTCTTGACCTCTCCGAATTTCCCTAACTTCAGCCTTGGTAGTGTCTCGAAGAACCCTACTGCACTGCTGGTCAGCCGGTCTTGTACTAATGATACTAAAGCACACTTTCCTTTCTCTTCTGCTTTAGCAGGTCTTCCTTCAAAGCGCTGCTTGCGATGGAACCTGAGCGCAGACTTACGAGGTCGTCTGCCGTCTCAAATGGATTCCTCCATTGACTGATCATTTCCATGACCTTCTGCACGTCTTCTTCATCCCTTCTCTTGCGAACCGAGCCCGACTCTTTGTGACCCTTTATCTCGTCCTGAGGATGCGAAGAAGCCATCTCTCTGCATCGATTGACAAAGCTAGCTCTTGCATGCGCAGTTAACATCCACCGCTGCACAGTACCCTTCTTAAGGCTAAACCCTATTACGCCACCCTTAGTTTTCGTGTTGCGGTTTAAGGTTAATTCGATGGTTTGATCAACTGGAAGCTGCGAGAAGCCATGGGAGGTTGTGCGTTGTACACCAAAGTCACCTTGAGACAGCATGCTGTAAGTGTCTGGGTGCGTATCTGGAAGTTCTAACATGTGAACTAGGTACACTGGTAAATACCGTGCGTAATTGGTGTGGTCATATGCAAAAAGCCACGGAATCACAGCTTTTATGCACTCCAGGTGAAGCTCCCAATTCCCTTCTCTCTTGGCCCAGAACAGGAGTTCCAGAACATCTTCAGGGGACCGTCGTTCTCGTCTTTGCAGTACTGATCATAAAGATTAGCTAGCTCTTGAAATTCTGGTAAGGACAGGACGACATTAAAATTTTCTGCATTACATTCCTCTTTGACGAGCTGCAATGCACTTACAAGATGTATGTAATTGGTACGCTTCCCTTGAGTTACAAGCCATTCCTTGAACTGCTGCCACTGCAGACGATGCAGAGCCTCGAAAACTATCTGAAAAGAAAAACCGCTATTTTAACATATACATGCCTTTTACGTGCGCACGTCCTGTGTTACAACTGCATATCTCTTGGTTTTGTCCGTAAATAAAACAACAAATATATTTTACCTTGTGCGTGCGAATAGCACGGTTGAAATGCTTTCCTTGGAGTACACCTGAGACCAGTGGCAACGACTCCACTTTCAATCAGAACGTCTTCGAGTCCGGCACCGGAGGATCTCTTCCCAATTGCAGCAAGGAAAGCGCAAACCGTATGAAATGTTCCCATCCTAAGAACCACACGCTGAAATTGCTGGGGATTTTGCCATGCTATCTCTAAGGCCTTGGCATATATTGCCTGATCAAACACTATGATCAAGTCTCTCTGCCCGAGTTGATCTGCCATCTGCAGAGACCTCTGTAATATTGTATAGACCGTCGGCAACTCTGTAGGGCTTGCTTCGATCACTGGACAATACCCAACGCAGCTCTCACGAAGACCCCTCCCTTTTATTATCTTAATATAGAACGCCGTCCAAGCTGGTATGACTTGTGGATGCTCTGCAGACAGGCAAACAATTAATCTTCAAGTGGCTGTCGACACAGTATCCATCCAAAGTCGATTGAGCAAGCTCTCTGTGTGGTTTCTGGTATAGTCTGTATCACTTGGTTGATGTTGATCTGCACAGCAGGAGGTCCCTGTCGGCGACCGGAATGATGAGGAATAACATCGGTGGAAATGTGTGTGACTTTGCGCTTCTTAGGATGCGCTTCTTTATCTTGAATGTCTGGTGGCGGAGCACAGGTGAGCGGTATTCGTTGGACAACAGTACCATTAGTGCAGTGTGTCGTTCCCTTGCCTGTTAGGAGACGGATACGAAAGTCTTACTTTAAGAACAAAATAGTTCCTGTTTTATAAAATATAAATAGACAATTGTACGTGCGCTATAAATCAATAGTTTACTTTGAAGTACAAACAGATGAACTGGAAAGATGAAGAGATAAGGTAAAGAGATCAAATTAATGGCGATGCAAAAATAATAATTTGTCCTTCTCTTTAGATACCTGATAAAGTCTCCTCCTGAAGGTCATTGTTATCCCAACATAAAACGGAAGAAACACTGCGACAACACACGGTCGGCAACAATCGGTTATTTCTTTCGAGATGATTGTGTTCCTTTAGAATTCCAGTCTCTAGATAACTGAAGCACATTTCGTTGTTTAATCGAAACTAATTCCTTACCCGTTAATTTGAAGCCTTAAAACGTTTAAATTTCTTTCAGAAGGAGCTGTATCTAAATTTAGATTTAGGAGTATTCGACGAAAGTTCACGCGATAAAAAGGTTGTGTCGACATTTCCACCGTTTTTATAATTCTACATATTTGCTTCTAATAATAATCGTTTTCAAAACGACAGTTAAAAGAATAATAAGACTTTCGGGCGAGGTTTTTGAAAATTTCTACTTATTTATTTCTTTGTGTAAGTATGCTGAGAGAAAAATGGATTATTAAGCTTCACTTTAGCTAAATTTCATAGTCATACTCATAATAATAGCGGCACGTAGGGAGTTTTTTCCTTAGCGTTAAAGCATATTAACAAATTAAAGAGAGTGCAACAGGAATTTGTGCCGAATTTATAACCTAAACTTCATGATTCTTTCATCCCAACCGCCTGCTTAAAACAGCTTGCGTGAGGTGGATCCCACCTGTCTTTGAGGATTCACATCCCCTCATAATAGCTTTAGAAACATTTTTACTCTCCTATAGGAGGGTAGAAAATTTTGACAACTTGGGAATTTTTGTAATAGTCACAATAGAGCATTGAAACGAATTACTTCCGTGTATTCCCGCTTCAAACGTATTATAAATTAACAGTTAAAAATATCCCTGATATTAGTAAAAAAATCTCCCCACTTTCTTTGCATTTCACAACACACATCAGAAAGCACAGCACAGTGAACGTACCAAGAGACAAGATGCGAGGCATCTTGCCAAACTAGACCTTCAAAATTACAAAATGTAAAATCGTGCACTGCGTTACTAGGATGTAAGACGCTTCTCGCCTGGAACTCCTGAAGACTCTGTGTGATGTACCACGGAGACAATTGACGTTGATGAATTAGAGATCTATTTCCATCTGCGTAAATTACCTTCAGACATTGCATTAAGTAATTGTTATCGTAGACGTCTGACACCTTATGGAGATATTCTGGCTTTTTTTCAGGCCTTAATTTAACTACTGCTTAAGCAGTGTTCAATATTGCGATACTTATCTCTTTCACCGCAGTTCACATATATGATTTTCATGTATTTAGTCATTTAGGCCAGTGTACATCAGTAAGCAAGATGTGGGTGTATATTGGTATTAATATTAGAAGTTTTATTATGGTAGCTTTCAATTGATCCTCATTATTCAAGTAGTGTCAGTGTTGCAAGTAAAGTTAGTATATAGGTATAGGTAATCTGGAATATAATAGGTAATTTGGAATATAATAGGCACGAGTAAATTTTTTTAAAGACTAACAAAATTTCAGTTCTTTGGAAAAATTTACAGAATTTACAAGCAAAGCGCGCGCATCAAGTGCAACAATAATTTATTCAAACCCTGTAACGACATCGCAATAACTGTGACAATGAATACATTGGACAGACCAAACGTCAGTTTGGTACACGTTTGAAAGAGCATCAAAAAGCGGTTTTCTTTTGCAGAAAGGAAAATTCAGCTTTATCGGACTACATATGCCTAACTCACCATACAATTGGGTGGAAAATTTCTAAAATTGTCTCCACTAATCGTCGTTACCACCAGTGCCTTTGTTTGGAGGCTTGGCATACTAACTCCGCCTACGCTCCTTTAAATCGTGACGATGGCGGCTTGCTTCCTGACGCTTATTTACACCTCGTCAGCGTTTAGATCACCCCTAATGAAGGCACCAGACAGGGGTTTTAAGTAGGTTTTCTTTCGCCACCCCAGCTGAAAAACAGCTCTAACAACGAAAACACTGTAAAAAGCACTGCTTTTTGGTTGTCGGTTTGGGAAAAGGTGTTTAGAGCGGGGAATTGCCAAGGAAATCGACGGCGACCCAGCTTAACACTTTGCTCGAGCGATCTTACGTAGGGCTTGTGCAATTTTGTTAGTCTTTGAAAAAATTTACTCGTGCTTATTTATTCCAAATTGCACTCGAAATCATGTAATTATCTGTACAAATTGCACTCCACTCAGTTCAACTAACATGATTTATTTTACTCTGTATCGGTTTCTCCTAACCTTTTAATCCCTAAGAGTGATTGACATATCATTTCTCCTCACAGTAACACTTTGAATCAAACGTTAAGGTCATGAGAATAAGGAAAATGATCACTCGTAAAGGTCATGAAATCGGGAAAATGATCCGCTACTAGAGATACCATACCGATCCGGTGATATGAAGCGGTTAAGATGGTTCAGTCTCTTTAAACAAAGTACACTTGTCTGAACAAGTTTAAACGTAAAAACGATTTTGGTGACTGCTAGATTCAGGTTATTTAGAAAGCGGAAAGTTTAATCAGAATTGCATGAGTTACTTGAATTAGTATATAAATATATTAACGACGAAAATCACCTTATTCATTTAAGCTTTGCACTTTTTATATCTTTCCAGAAAACTTTTTTTTTCATAATAGTTTAAAAAACCATTATCTCAATTATGTTGTTATATTATGTTTGAACTAATGAATTAATTTCTATTTTTTAAGTGCGTTTAATTCTTGGCTTGATAAAGTCTTTGAAAATAATTTGAGCCATGGATTGAATAAATTTTTGTATTTCTTTTTAATATAGCTAAAAGCGAAATTGTAATTTATTTTCAGTCAAGTACGTCAAGCTCAGTTATTGCTGAAATTACAGTTCGTCTTAAAATTATGCATCAAACTACTCCAACCGTTTACGGAAAACTGATATACACAATTATAATAAAGTTCGGATATAAGGCAAACTGTCATTGGTTGAAAGAGCGTGCTCTATGAGAGTATAGAGCATAAAGCTGAGCTAAAGCTGTCACGCCATTTGCCAAATTGGACCATGTCCGACTTTTTCCGAAACTTTTCTCTAGCTTTTTTTCGTTAATTGAAAGTGAAATTTCGAAACAAGCGAGTCGGCAAGTAGCAACAGAACAACCAAACAAGGTTTGTAAACATGCCAGGCGCCGTAATTGATGTTATTATCACGTGAGCAGAGACGAAAATCTTCAAAGAGAAAACGAAATGGACAGTCCGAGTTTTGAAGTTTTTCAGGCTCAGTTAAATTGCAAGCTTACGAATGATAATAAAAATCAAACACAGTGAACACTCGTATAGTATATAAAGTTCGAGTTAAAAACAGAACAAAACACGAATAATAAAAAATATAGCCAAAGTGGCATAACTGTTATATTTCATACTAATCATGACGGTGTCAGAGCGACTGCGATCATGCTGAGGTCCAACGTGGCTAGCTCGGAAATCGCCAGTGAAGCAAGCCTCAGAAATTACATCGACCGCCCTTCGAGTGAACAACTAAGAGCTTGCTCTGATGTCCTTTCCGATGCATTGAGTGGTGAAGGCCACATCAGTCACTGCAACCGAGTTATACGGCTCTGTCATCCCGAGCAATCTTCATGTTCCGGTGAATTCGGCTGTCGTTCACTCGCCTTTAGCAGTTTGTTTACTATTTGTCATGTGAAAAACTTGCGTGTTTTTGTGTGCCACAATTCGGCCGGATTTCAATGAACATTTCACCTCCAAATTCTGTATTAGAGACTAAGAAAATTCATTTTGTAAAAAATCGCAGAATGTGAACTTTGATGGTTTGACATTTCTGATGGCTTTCGTCTTGTACAGCCAATCAGATTATTTGAACTATTATGACAAAGATTCTGATTGGCTTATTGTAGCGTGCTTTATGAGAGTATATAGCATGCTGACGACTCTGTTGTTCGCTTTGAAATTAAAATTTATTTGGAAAATTGAAAGTAATGCGCGGTGAATTTAACGGATTCTTTATTATAAAAAAATAGAGAAGCCTTGACTGTCCTCTGTTCTGTTTTAAAGCAAGCAGGAAGCGGTAAGAGCATTCAAGAAACGAGGAAAAACACTCGAATACGTGTGTATACGTGTGTTTGCGAATAATTTTCGTGTTTCTCCCTACACTTCTTTCGTGTTCTAACCGCTTCCTGCGTGCTTTATAACAGAACAGAGCACAGTCAAGGCTTCTCTATTTGTTAATTAAGGTGCTACCTTATCGTACAATGTAAATCTGAATGAATGTTTCGCATTTTTCTTTCCTCGTCCTTATAAACAGAATCTAAGTTTAGGTTTTTCAGTCATTTTAGCAATCCTCTAAAAATTGGTTGAAACGTTTCACTTATGGCGAGGGATCAGGATAACAGATGAAATAATCTACAACCTAGAAACTGACGTATCTGACACGTGAGGACCTAAATTTTTTGATTTAAAAAAAAAAATATCGAGGAAGAGTTTACTTTTTGTTAAAGACAAAAGCACTTATGGTACAGTTGAAAATTTTCCTTACGGACACCTTTACAATACCGACACCTCGCCAATAAGTACGGCAGACAATTTCCTATGTCCAGATCGAATTCTGCTATATTCTCTTTATAATAAGGAACCTTCCTGATATAGACCCTCTCTAATGAGGACAACATACCCTGAACGTCACCTAGTCATGGTCTCTTCATACTCAGAGAAAAGAAGCACTCGAGTGCCTGCTCACGTTTCTATAGACACTGCAATCTTAAGAGTTACACCGTATTGAACTTAATTATACGGACAAATCTCTTATACGGACACTTTGCTTTATCAATAGGGTTTTCATATTACCTAGGTTCGTCTGCATTTTTTTTGCCGCTGTATGTGTAAACAGTTACGGTCTATCTCTAGCTCGAAAATTAAGAAACGTGCAGTTATCGAACCATTATTTCAAGAGAAAATTACGATCGGTAACTTTTTTAAACAGCACAGAATTATCTCGACATTAAGACAAACCATCAGTAAATAATTACGCGGTCTTCGCGTCTTCTTTCGCGATCGATTATCTTCAATAAGGTCATGTCTCTTCGACACAAATTAGGAAAAGTAAATTTTAAATGCCTGCATATGACCAGATCAATAACCATGCACGTTGAAGTGCAATCCAGGCGAAACTTCGACGAGAACTGTGATTTCGGGAGAGACTTGCAAACGAGAGAATAACATGCAATAAAATGATTAAAAATACAAAGACTTTAGGTCGATCTCAACTCGAAGAGCGGTAAATAATCCTAAGAGAAAGTCATAAACATTCATTCTGAATCACTGCACACTAAAAAGACCAATTAAAATTTACACGAATATAAAATAACAGATGTATTTACAAAGCAGTTCATAGGTCCTTAACATTCAATTTCTTTTTTTTTTTTCAGTTTTTTCAACTTTTTAGCCCCTCATCAATTAGTTCCACAGTAGCGCCAACTACAGTTTGGTGTTTCATGGAGATAGTAGATATAGAAGGATCCACAGTTTTTTACAACAATATTTATATCGCTTCTGCAATCCATAGAAAGATCACTAAAGCAGACCTTTCTTTTGACTTTACCATCTTCCACTGTAGGATGAGCACCATTCAACCAACCTGGCCGGTCTGTACCACATTTAAATGCTAGCACACTCGTTGTTGGCATTTTTGTTCCAGCATCTCCCACAAATCGATGCCATCCCTCAATGAGCTTATCGTCACACAGAGAAGGACCATGTAAGGGTGTATCGTAATTTCTGTTTCTGTTAGCATTTGTCAGATTTGTGTAGTTGTAACAACCATCGGCTAGAGAATCACATATAATCAAAGAGGAAATGATAATAGTATTTATCAAGGTTAGAACTTTCAAGAATTAATTGCAGTTCAAACTTCTTAATGATTTACAGGTATAAAATGCACCTTTTAAAAAACAGCAGGTAAATTTCCATCAACTTTTCCATTACATTTCCTTACCAAGAAGGGAAAGAACGCCGTTCGGCAACTGCCATTACCTGCAAATTTCTTATGCTATAATTTTCCCTTCTCTTTCCAAATGGTGCACAAGTATAATAATTGTCTTTTTATATCGGCGATGACAGTTTCAAACTAAAAAAGGGATGTTTAAAGGGACTACTAACTTGACTTCACAACCAAGGGTTCAACTCAAAAAACCTTAAAATAAGCTAACATGAGGTAACCTTTCAATGGCAAATCATGCAAATTGTGCCTCTCAATTTTGGTAGTTTTTGCTGGTACTGGTGCTAGAAGTAGCTCAGGATTAACAAATATCGCCGACCAAATCAAGGTTTATATTAAAAAAATAATAATCTTTTTTTTCGGAAAGCATGCCCTCGTCAGTTATTTTCGTTACTGTTTTTATCACAAAGGGAAAATGAAACTGAAATCCCATTCCACTTTCTAATGTTAATAAAGAATTACAGGCAGACGGAAAAATAAACAAACTAACAAACGACATTAAGATAATCCGACAGACAGACAAAATGTTGAAAAGACTGACTTTGATTACAAAAAAGGACTGTGCGGAAGGTGTTCAAGCACTTGTGAAAAACAACGAATAAAGAAAGTTACGTAATAACTCTTGTTGTTGTCGCGTAACGTATGTGACTTAGTGACATTCTTTGCCGAAATATCTTCGTCCGCAATCAGTAGTTATTGTTAAGTGATACATAATTCAGAGGCAGAGCGTTCTTGGCGCTCGAGTTCCGAAGGATTTCAATAGTAGTTAAGTGTTAATTATTTTGGTGTTTCGTCCAACCACAAAAAGAGAGACACACAGACAATCTAGATAGGGATTGATAAGGATTGTGACAGAGAGAGAGCATCGAATTAAGAGAAAGAGATAGAGAGGGAGAAACAGACAGAAAAATAATAAGAAAGACTCCTTGGAACGATGTTCACATAAGCCTAAACAATACTAGAGTAAACAAACCTTCGCATTTCATGCCAGTCCAGAAATATCGAGTCTGGCAGGTGCAGTTGAATGACCCTACAGTGTTTGTACAATTGGCGCCACCCTTGGTGCAATAATTATCAACCAATTTACACTCGTCAAAATCTGAAAGTAACACAAAGACATTTTTAAGAGGTCTGGGGGAATGGGTGACAACAGAAGATTACACGAGCTTTTAAACATTTTTCCCTTAGTTCTAACAGTTATTTAAACCATATTTAGACCTTCTTGTGTTACGGCAGGAATGCGGTGCGGCTTGCTTGTAGAGTGGCTGATGGATAATGTACTTCCTATTTGGTAATTATCAGTCAACACTTACCTGTGCACGTCAGGCCATCTCTTGTAAATCCTTCTTTACATTTGCAGTCGTAGGATCCACGGGTATTTATACATTCAGCATTTGAATCACATTTGTGTTCTCCCAGATCACACTCATCAACGTCTTGAAGAAAGAATCATGAATAAATTCAATTACAGAGATTTCGAGACCACAGACTTCTAAATCTGAGTTAGGGTCTGTATATCTCTTATTTATTAGGGACTTTAAGAAAACCTTGACGACGACTGTAAAGTAAACGTAGAGAAACAAAAGATCTAATGAGCAAAATAACTGTGCAGCAAGTGCATTATAAAATTTGTACCTTTCTTAGCCACCTCATACAGAACAAAATCGTGAAATCACTAGGGCCCTTCCCGATTATGCTAGCTTTTTTTTTGGCATTATGTGATTAAAAAAGCATTTTTTTCACACTTTTTCTGTAAAAAGAATCGCTAGCATTATTTAGCATTTTGCATAACTTTGATCTAGATTTCAGCACTAAAAAGAGTTTAAATGCTAAATTTTAGAATTCAAAAGCATTGCGATGATTTGCTTTTGTGTTTTAGAGAAGGATTTCTGTAACTGTGTGAACTGAGTGCTGCTGGTCAGCGGTTAACTTTCAGAGGCCGTTCACGCGCATGTACAAACAAGATGGCGTCGGCCAGTGCCACGCCATCTTCTCGATACTTGCAGCTCATAGAAGGAAATTCTGAAGGAGAACATAGACCAATACCTTCAACAATAGCTCAAGATCGATCTTTAGAATCAACTAGGGGAAATTACAAACGGAGAGGAAACAACGATACAACGAAAGTCCCGTTATACGAGCGAGTCAAGCAGTTTCCAGGCGAGAATTTGATTGTCAGAGAAGGAAACTTGTTTCGTAGTAGATGTAGAGAAATTATTTCCTCCAAGAAAAGTGTTCTGAAAATCCATATTTCGTCCAAGAAGCATCAAAACGGTAAAGAGAAGTTGAAAAAATCGAAATTGAAAGACAGACCATAATCGAGGCATTCAGAAGAGAAGGAAGTTCAAAAGATAGCACGTTGCGCGTGGAAGAATGTGCCTACAGACTCGAAGTTTTCAGTGAGTTTTTGAAGGCGGGTATCCCGCTCGGTAAAATAGACATGCTACGGTCTCTGTTGGAGAAGTACAGCTATCGACTCACTGGAAGTTCTAAACTAGGACAGTATGTTTCCATGACTTTGAAACAGGAAATTGAACGGATTAAACAAGAATTGGAAATGTCTGGTCAAGTTGGCATGAGAAGGGACCTTTCAGTCATTTTTGACGGCAGCACCAGACAAGGGGAAGCAATTGCTATAATAGTGGACAATGGCTGGAACATTATCCAACGGCTTGTGAGAATTGATGTTCACTCTAAGTCAGTTAATGCCAACGAACTGGCACAAGTTCTTAATCAGTGCCTGTCTGTTGATTATGGGGTCAGAGCAAATTCCTTGCTCGCAGCCTTGAGAGACGGTGCGAGCGTGAACCAAGCAGCACTGGACAGAATAGCATTTAGATTCCTTAAGATGCTGAATGTCGTGTGCTTCTCTCATACACTTGATAACGTGGAAAACCATTTAGTGATCCCAACACTGGTAGAGTTCGGAAGCCTTTGGATTAGAGTGTTTCACCATAGTTGTAAAGCCAAGCTGTTATGGAAGGATCTAACAGGTCAAACAGCAAGGTCGTACAGCGAGACTAGAAGGTGGTCCGAATGTGAGGTGTATCATCAGTTGATGGTGCAGTTTGGAGATGTCGAAAGGTTAGTAGAAGAGGCAAAGGACACAAAAGTTTGCCCAAAGCTACTGCCACAACCTCAAGCACTTTCTGATCCACAGCGACTAATGAACTTGAAGCTTGAGCTTGCCGCCACTATCGATGTTGGCGAAAATTTTGTGAAAGCCACGTATTTTTTGGAAGGGGATGGTCCTTTGGTTTTTGCTTGTTATGAGAAACTAAGCGCCGTTTCCCTAAAAGTCCGTGCAATTGCAATTGCAATTGCGGAGGAAGACCCATGTCAGAACGTAACAGCACTTGAACGGAGAGCGAATGCTTGTGTTAGGCCGGCAATTACGTGGTTTCTGAGAAAATTCAATGTCGATTTTTATGACGTAGTGGTAACATTCAAGGCTGCCAGACTATTCTGCCCCGTTAGGATCCAGTGGCTTAAGCCCACAAATGCATTAGTAGATTCTCTAAGAGCATTTCCTTTCCTGGATAGTGATACTACCATCGACAGTCTCAAAGCCGAGCTTCCTGCCTATTTGGCTGCCGCTAAAGATGTTGTTATCCCGACTGAAGAGAAGAAAGTCGAATGGTGGTGTGGGCACGAGGAGCAACTTCCTCGTTGATCTTCCGCAGTGAAGCAAGCTCTCCTTATCCAACCATCGTCTGCTACGGCAGAAAGAGTATATTCAATACTGAAAGCGTCCTTCAACGAGCTACAGAATTGTGCTCTTGTTGACTACCTCCAAGACAGCGTCATGTCGCAGTACAACAAGCGCTAAGGACTTCGAGTTTCTAAGTTTTGCTTGAAATTAAACAAAGCATTTTCTGAAACCAAAGTAGTGTTATTTTGAGAATCGAGCATAATTTGAGCATTTATTTTGGCGTAAAGCCTAATTTCTAGGAGCAAATGCCAGTTTTAATAGAATAATCATCGGGAAAGGCCTAGAAATCACCGACTTTAACGTCCTTTAAGCAACTTTTTATTTTGAACTTAACGAAAGAAGTCGCACCGTCAGGAACGGTAAAACGCATCGAGCTACCGGCAGGGTTGCATTGCAGAGAGGGTTCATCGCGTTCTCCATTGCTAGAAGCGGCAATGAGGATTTCCTCCTCCGGATAAACGCCTTTCGACCTATCGTTACCTACCCCCCCCTCCCCTCCTACTTCCCCCAATGTTTCCTTCCCTAGTTTTCTCTCATAGTTCACCGCTGCTCTTTCTTCATCCTCAATGAAAAAATTAAAAAAGTGCATGAGGAGAGTACTAAAGAATTTATGTAAAACAACGGTCACTGACTTTCCTAATCGTTAAGTGACTGCTAATACTTGGATATTGAACACGTATATCTGCCTCACCTTCTGTGCAATCTTCACCTGTGTAACCCGGTACGCAGACACATCTATACCCCTCGCTGGAAAAACCGGCCTGGCAGATCGCATTACTCGGGCATGGCTTCTTTATGCAAGCGTTCTTTACAAAGAAGTAAAAAAGGAAAAGTCAAGGCTTATCCACGCAATTACAAGGCGGGGAGGGAAGGGTAAGGAGGTACATTGACATAGCCATTCTGAGGGCGGATAAATGAAACAACGAGAGCGCTCAAAGTGCGTTTACTAATACCATACTCTCCATATTCAAAGGGCAATCGAATTAAATCAAGGTTGCAATTGACTCATGCTTATAACTGTATCTTTGACGTTCGGTAAATATTGAAACTTCGGTGAGATAACGATAAGCGTTATTTTGTAATCTACGTCTCAGAACCAATCGCGTTAATTGCAAACAATGATAATTGAAAGCACTTAACATAACTGTCGTGTATGCCAACTGGGTGCTGGTCATTATGTTGGTTCCAAATAAACCCGTGAAGGGAAGAATAAATAACTGCAAATTTATGAAAATCATATCTATGAACTGCGGACCAGCTCCCACATGGCTTGTTAGCTCAGTGGATGGAGCGCTGCACCGATATCGCAAAGGTCATGGGTTCAAATTCCGTACAAGCCTGAATTTTTTTCAGGCCTTATTTTCACTACAGTTTAAGTAGTGTTCATTAAAGCGAAGATCGCTTTCAAATTCATTTCTTTAACCGCAGTTCACATATATGGTTTTTATATATTTACAGTCAAAATTAAAAAGATGTGAATAAACCAGTAAAAAGTTGAGTTGAAACAAAGACATAAGGATTGTCCAAAAGAAGACCTTTGTTATCCTAACCATTGCAGCTATAAACACACCTTGGATCCACGATAGGTGCTGCTTGGAAATGACACCAGATCACTCGGATGTTCAAAATGTGTAGCGTTATTCATCTCGCATTTGGTGATCGAGGGAGAATCATTGGATACTAATATATTATAGCTCACACAGTTGGGTTCCATAAAACACAATGCTCCACAGAAGTCCTTTGCGACGTTGTCAACTTCTTTTATCTTGTGGTTAATCAGCCGTTTTCCTCTAAATGCAAGGGCAGCACTGAACTCCAATTGACGACATTGGTCTATAGAAAAGAATGATATTTTCCGATAGGAAGAACATAATACCACTGGTTACAAGGGAATGCTCCATTTGACAAAGACACCGGATCTCGTGGTAAAGGTAAAAAATAGGGAAGGGATGAAGGTAGAGAAATTGGTAGAGGAAAGTCAATCCACGTCATACAAAAAGTGTACGAATTTAAATCAACGAAAAAACTGTAACATGAGGTTTCGATTATATCCTGTTATCATTGTCAAATTTGAAAGGGATTGGCATAATTGATGTACTATATGTAAATATGTATAGAAATGCTAAAAGACAAAATGATTTCTTTAACGAGAACGAAGCTTAAAAGTGTGCTTTGTATTCATACAAACAATTTCACCCGAATGGAGTCTGGGTAAGTGTTATAAATAAATAACTTTATTGATAATGTACATGAAAAAATTACGCGCTTCTGATTGGCTGAAAACGAGTTCATTCTAATGTAACGGGAATGCAAACTCATAACGCAGGTGCATAGTTGTAACACGAGGGCAAAATACAAATAGTTCGCGCACGCTTTTAAAATTTCGTCTGTCTTGACCTTCTGCAATGTTTTTTTCATGTACATTATAACAAGTAATAACATAATTTCCCCTGCAATTTGGTGTAATAAGTACTTGTAATTTTTTTCAGACTACAAATTGCACTTGCTGTACGGGCTCTTGTAATTTTGTTGTCTTTGAAAAATATACACTCGTGCTTATTTACACCAAATTGCACTCAAAATCATGTCGTCGCCTAAACTTAACGAGGGTGGATGGCCTTCTCAAGACTTTATGGTCTTACATGAATTGGTAAAGTTAACATCGAATCAATCAAAACTACAAGCCATGACTGAATACTGCGATATTGGGTAATATTCTGTAAGGTTAATGTCTGGTCTTTTCTTTTTTAATAAGGAGGATCTCGAATATAAGATAGTCGAGCTTTCTAGGGCACTTCTTTAGAACTTCGAAATTCTCACTAGGTTCGCTGTTCATATATATGTATTTGGAGAAGCAAGTAATAACATAATTCCCCCTGCAATTTGGTGTAATAAGTGCTTGTAAATTTTTCAGAATACAAATTGCACTTGCCCTACGGGCTCGTGCAATTTTGTTGTCTTTGAAAAGTATACTCGTGCTTATTTACTCTAAAGTGCACTCGAAATCGTGTCGTTGCCTAAACTTAACGCGGGTGGATGGCCCTCCCTGGACTTTATGGTCTTACACGAAATGGTAAAGTTAACCTAGAATCAATCATAACTACAAGCCATGACTGAATACTACGATATAGAGTAATGTTCTGTAAGGTTAAAGTCTGGTCTTTTCTTTTTTATAAGGAGGATCTGGAATATAAGATAGTCGAGCTTTCTAGGGGCACTTCTTTAGATTGTGTTGTATGTACCACTATGCAGTGTGTTGTTTTGGAAGTGACTGCATGTGTAACCTGTATGGTTTCCCAGGAGAGGCTTAAAGCTTTCTGTTTTGTCTTCTTTTCAAATAAATATCGAAACTTATCACATTGAAAGAGTTTATTGATATGTTTAGGGAGAGAAATTTGTAGTTTTGTTGTGTTATGTTTTTTTGTTTTTTTTTTTGTTTTTATTTTCAGAGACTTAAACAAGCAGGATCGCGGCAGACGTTGCCTTGAAAAAGATTCGTTTCATTTTATAATTTTTTCACGTTTTCCTTAAAGCGTCGCCTTTTGTATCTGATGAGTTATGGGATAATTTGAGCCCGTGTTTTCAACTACTTCACAGAAGTCACCAAACTTTTGACATGGGGCTGATTTCAATTAAGGCATAAGTGTATTCTTTTTGTAAATAATTGATAGGTGATATTTCAGTTCTGTATCTGTCAAAGGGGAAAGATGCAAATTTTGTTGAAGAATTGATATTTCAAAATAAGAAAAGTTAGTATCGAGACGAACAATTTAGAATCTAGGATGTAGATTGGAGAAAATTTTAGTGGGTAGCTTTCATGAAAGTCCCGGTGTTTTTTTAAGTTCATTATGTCAGTGTAGAATACAGATAATGATGATAAAAAGATGAGACAAAACTAAACTCGGTTATTTCTTTCGAGATGATTGTGTTCCTTTTGAATTCCAGTCTTTAGATAACTAAAGGATATTAAGTTGTTTTATCGAAACTAATTCCTTACCAGTGAAGCCATAAAACGATTAAATTTCTTTCAGAAGGAGCTATCTCCAAATTTAGATTTAGGTGTATTCAACGGAAGTTCACGCGATAAAAAGGTTGTGTCGACATTTCGACCGTTTTTACGATTCTACATATTTGCTTCTGATGCTAATCGATAATCATTTTTAAAGCGACAGTTAAAGGACTAATTAGACTTTCGGGGAGGTTTTTGAAATTTCTACTTATATATTTCTTTTTGTAAATATGCTGAGAGAAAAATGGATGATTAAGCTTCACTTTAGCTGACTAAATTCATAGTCATACTCATGAAAATAACTGCACGTAGGGAGTTTTTTCTTCAGCGTCAAAGCATACTAACAAATTAAAGAGAGTGCAACACGAATTTGTGCCGAATTTATAGCCTTAACTTCACGATCCTTTCATCCCAACCGCCTGCTTAAAAAAACTTGCGTGAGGTAGATCCCACCTGTCTTTGAAGATTAACGTCTCCTCATAATAGCTCTATAAACATTATACTCTCCTATAAGAAAGTAGAACATTTTGAAAAACCTTGCAATTTTTGTAATGGTCACAATAGAACACTCGCAATGAATTTTTTTGTTCATTCCCGCTTCCAACACAATATAAAATAACAGTTTTAAAAACTTTCTCCTTATACTGATTAAAAAATCTACCCACCTTCTTTGCAGTTCATAGCACACATCAGAGAGCACAGCATAATGAAGGTACCGAGAGACACGATGCGAGGCATGTTGCAAAACTACTCCCGCCAAATTACCAAAATGTAAGGTTGTGCACCACGTTACTTGCATGCAAGACGCTTTTCGCCTGGAGCTTCTGAAGACTCAGTGTGATGTAAAACGGAGACAATTAATGTTGATGAATTAGAGATCTATTTCCATCAACGTAAATTAACTTTAGGCATTGCATTAAGTAATTGTTATGATAGACGTCAGTCACCTTATGGAGATATTCTGACTTTTTTCAGGCCTCAATTTCACTACTGCTTAAGTAGTGTTCAATATTGCGAAGGTCGCTTCCATACATATCAATTTCACCGCAGTTCACATATATGATTTTCATATATTTAGTCATTTATGCCGGTGTATATCAGTAAGCAAGCTGTGGGTGTATAATGGTATAAATGTTGGAAGTTTTATTATGGTGACTTTTCAATTGATTCTCATAACTCAAGTAGTTTCAGTGTAGCAAGTAAAGTTAGAATATAAATGAAGAAAAAAAGCAACAAGAAAAACGATACATTTAATTTACCTTCATTTTCTAAACAGAACTTGCGATCAGTCAAAACTACAAGCCATGACTGAATACTACGATATTGAGTAATGTTCTGAAAGGTTTATTTCCGGTCTTTTCTTTTTTTATAAGAAGGATCTCGAATATAAGATAGTCGAGCTTTCTAGGGCACTTCTTTAGAATTGCGAAATTCTCACGTAGGTTCGCTGTTCTTAGATTGTGTTGTATGAACCACTATGCAGTGCTGTTGTTTTGGAAGTGGCTGCAGGTGTAACTTGTATGGTTTCCCAGGAGAGGCTTAAAGCTTTCTGTCTTGTCTTCTTTTTAAATAAATATCGAAACTTATCCTGTTGAAAGAGTTTATTTATATGTTTACAGAGAGAAATTTATAATTTTGTTTTGTTGTGTTTTGTTGTGTTTTGTTTTTATTTTCAGAGACTTAAACAAGGAGGATTGCAACAGACATCGC